AGATGATCTTGAAGAAGAACAAGACTTGCGGTTCTTGAGCATTTGCTGAAGAAGCTCTACTTGTGTGTTCACCTTGGCGCCAATCTTGGCATCCCAAAGGTCCATCTCAACATCAAACTTGTCATTGTTGGCGTAGACCGAATGTGAATTACCTTCCCTATCCATAGTAGCACTCGAGCAAGGTGTGAGTAGAGAAGGGAACAAACAATACCAAAGTTACCTCTTTCCGATGTTGGTGAAGGATCAAGCGACTTCACAATTGATAATATGCACTTGGTAATGAGCCCTTGTCCAACCTCACACCTACACGCAAAGACTTACAGTGGAGCTCAGTAGGGATCAGTGGATGAAATCAAGCAGTTTGAAGTCCAAGATATGTAAAAGTTGGAAGAGAATCACAATGAACTCAAAATGGCAGGGAAGTGTTCACGAAAGGATGGATACAGAAGCAAAAGGAAAATCACACGTGGAGATAAATGGGGCTAATGCAACTGTAGGGATGAGCAATATAATATTGCCTAATGAACAATATTGCCTAATGAACACTAAGCTTGTGTTGCACAAGCACAAGGAGAGATGCTAGCTTGGTTTCATGATTGGGCAAGATTCGCAACTTGGCACCAACCTATGTATGTAAGCGTAACGTTTCCTGTTTCAAGTATTCTTAATTCCTTATGCACAATTATCTTTTGCTCAAAATGATCTTGTTTATAAGATTTTGTGCTCTTTCTCTTTCTTTCTCTTTCTTTTGTATCGCTTTTTTTTGCACTTCTCTTCGTCTCACCACTTTCTTGAGCCTCGACCAAATATGCAAGACAAGTAACACAATACGATGCTAGGAGTAAACTATAACACGATATTATGCAATCACTAATGTGCTCAAGTTCACAAGGCCCGGCAACACTCGGATACCTAATCTCAATAGGTTTGAAAGGTATTCGCAAAGAATGGTGGGGCTGTCAAGATTAATGGCAAGGAAGGCAAAGTTTGTGATGGAATGGATACCTTCGTCACACTTTACCTTTCACAAAGTCGGAGGTACCGGCCTTGCTTCCGATTGAAGGTGTCAAAGTATGGAGTGATTGCCGTCGTAGGCGAGCTTGGTTGTTGATGTAGTTGATGTAGAGGTACAAGTATTGTTGTAGACGTCCAAGGTCCTAAGCCAACGAAGATAAGCTTGATAGGTGGAGGAGATATTCTTTGACGATGAAGTACCTCCAAATTTTTCTTGGCCAAAAGATGTGAAAACCAATGTGAGGATTAAAAGCACACTGATAGCTTCAAAGCAAGCCCAAGAACACTGAAATCGGAGTCTGGATGTGGAAGTTATGGCCAAAACATGGAACCAACCGAGGCATTTTTTTGTACTACCGGGTAGTCTGGTCGGGGGGGGGGGACTGACAGTCCTTGACATGGTTTGACTTTTTGGGTGGCAATAGATGATTTCAAGCTTGAAATTGGTGGGGGAAAAGAAAAAAAATGGGGCTAGGAAACGCAAAGGAGGCTATAACAACCGGCAAAACACCGGATCCATGGATCAAATCCAACAAAAACTCGCAAGAAACCACAAATCACTCAAAATCGGGCATGGCAATTTTTTGGGGGATTATCAAATTAGGCAAGGAAAATTAAAAAAAAGGCTATAAAAGTAAGGGGGTGGGCCCCAAATTGTGGCATCCTTGTTCATGATACCAAATGATATAGGACCAAACTATGGTGGCCCGATCTTCATGAATTGGAGGTGGATTTGGGGAAATCACGAACACGAAGACCAAAAAGGGAATTGCGGGAAACGCAAGAGGAAAACACTATTGGACAAGATCCACACACAAGTAATCCCCAAATCTCGAGTTAAAGTGATGGATCACAAGCATTCAACAACAAAGGAAAGTGAAGATAACTAAGGCAGTTCTTCCCCAATCTCTAAGAGATATGAGGGTCTTGAGCGATAGTCTTCCCCAAATCTTAGAGAGATGGAGACCTTGGCTAATCCCTTGGGATTCTTCTAATGGAGGTCTTGATCCTCCAAGAGGACATAGAGATGAGCAAGGCTCTCAAGATCTGGTCATATGTGTTGCTAACTCTAAAATGGAGGAGGGGATGAGGTATATATAGGTCCAAGTCATGAAGGGGCAAGTGAGGGGCAAAAAGGGAAATATACATGGGCCTTGCCCAAATGCTGCTTGTAGGCAACACTATCGAACGGTCTGGTCGGGAGGACCGGACAGGCTGCCCCATGACCGGATAGTCTAGTCAGTCCAGAGAGCCTCGTGTGTGACTCCAGCGGCGACCGGACAATATGGTCCGCTTGACCGGATAGTCCGGTAGTGCAACTTTTGCACACCTTCTTCCGTTGCTCCATCCTCTTCTGTCACCGCTTTCATGCTTCCCTCGCGGATGGTCTAGGCGTACCCTTGTGCTTGCACTCCTTGATATGCGTGAAGCTCCGCTCAAACCTATACATGCAGGGGGGTTCAAGTAGTATACCATCTAAGAGATAACGAAGTGGACACACATAAAGGATAGAATTCACCTTAGTATACATGGTGCGCGCGTCCCTTGCTGACGGAGCCAACTCCATGGTGGTGATCATAGGGTGCTCCACACCCGTTACCATATCACATAATCCATCCAATGATCACGTATCATCCAAAAGCACATGATAAATCAATCATCATTCACTGCCAAACATGAGAAG